CTGGCTTGATTCCCACAGGGAAACAGGAAGGAACAGCAACTCTGAAATGTTCTAGAAGCTTCTGGATACCACCCACATCCTGAGGAGGAAGCCGCTAATCTCTAGACTTACTTGCCATAGTAGAGGATCGTTTCCGGCTTGATGGACCCATCAAGGTGGACGTGGAGCTCCACCTACATGGGAAAAGCAGAGGGGGAGAGAATGAGCACTCACCCCTGGATGCTGGCAGGACCGCTCAGCAGGCTCACGTTCTAGCCGCCCACGAACTAGCCGCCTCGTCCCGGACACCTACCACACAGCGTTAGCAAAGCCTTCACACGCCCCTATCTTGTTTAATTGGTAGGGGGGTGGGTCACAGAGCATCAGCTCTATCTCTTTCAGAGCTGAGGACTCCGAGGTTCAGAGAGGTGACATACCTGTGCAAGGCCACACAGCAAGTAGTGAAACAAGACCCCGCCCCAGGGCCTTGGCTCTTCACCACCGCCAGCGAGGCCAAGACCTGAACTCTAACCCAGCGCCCAGTTCTGTAGCTGGCGCTCTCAACCACGAGACCAGCCATGAGGCCAGTCACGAGGCCCCGCCACACAGGGCAGCCACGGAGCAGCCACAGCCCTGCAGGAGCAACCAAGCCCGAGCCGGCTCCCACTCTCGGGAGGCTCACGGGACAAAATCCAATCTTTGACCACAGGCTTCCTGAATTTGGTTTGTGTTTCAAAATCAGGATCCATTTTCAAAAGTGGGTGTGAATTCAGCACAGGATCTCAGGAGTTAATATGAGGCAACACAAGCTCTCCTAGCAGCCTGGAAAGGGGACAAGACATTTGGCCATCAACGCCAACGTGCTTGGCCCACGTACAACTCCTCTCAGAGTGGGAGAGCCGGGGCTGTGAAGCCGCAGGGGATGGCTTCCCTCCCAGCTCCCCGCCGCCGCCCCACCCTCAGACCGTGTGGATGAGACCCTGGGTCCCTCTGAACCCACCAGCCACTCTGGGGGAGAAAGACGAGGCTTTCCACTCCCCTACAGAGTTACAGTCTCAGAAATCTGCAGGGCCTGTCCTATAAGGTCTCTATGAGTTGGAATCAGCTCAGTGGCAGTGAGTTTGCA